ATGTTTGCGATCACGCCTGCCAATTCTATTTAAATTTACTGGTTACTGACCGGCCTAACGTGCGACCTTATGAAAACTTATCCTAACTACATCCTTATCGCCGAAATCAAATAAAATCCTCTTAATCTTAGTGAGACGTAACTTAGTGCAAAAAACGGATTCACAGGAAACCGTTTTGAAATCCATGTTCGAAATGTAGGCTGTTGGCGGACCGCCGTACCTGATGTTACACTAGATCTTAGGGAAATTTAAATGTGAACTTCACTAAAAGACTATTATCAAATGTTATTTTACATGTACTATTTTATTTAGTCACTTTTTGTATGGACAGGCTTCGTGTGCATCTAAGAAAAGATTTGCCTCATAACCATTTAGACTTTTTTCGAATTTTCAAATTTTCTAAAAATGGGTATTTTGCGTTTTCAATCCCCTCAAAGTAGTTCTTTAGTAATATAGATATTGAGTCCATGCATTTGTGCCGGTTTGCGAGTGATTCGGAATCATTCATAAATGTCGATATCTTTCATCAGGTTGTCTACCGTATACGCACGTGTCTGGACAATAATGTGTTACCGACAATCCAGTAACTGCATCTTTTTCTTCTAAACTGCTTCCTGGAACTGGCCTATTCTCATCTACGAACAGTAACTAATATTCCTAAACACATACGGTAGGGCAAGGAGTCCATGTTAGATTCATTGACTTGTCGCTGAGTGAACAACAAGTTCGTGTCCGAAAATCGTGCTATTGGACCTTGAGTTTGGGATGTGGCTAACTGATGACCGCCAGTAAGCTAGCCACGACTATCCTAACTGCCGCTTGTCGGTGTTGGTTGCTAAGATGGAGCACCTGAGAGGGTCTTAGGTTGGAACTTGAAAATGCAACTATAATGTCCCGCCCTATAGGCAGACTGGCTCGACTCCTCACTTAGAATAATTAATAATCCTGATCGCGACCGCCGAACAACAAGCCCCTAGTGGAGTTTTACAGGGTTCAGTCTGATGCATAATGAGTAATGATTCATGGGATTGGAGTGAGCTGATAACTCGGACATCGTCAGCTCCGTTCCTATCTTTGTTAGTGTTCCTTATGCAAGTACATTTTTACAGGATTTAGTAGTTAAACTGGGAGAAATAACATTTAATTACGAAGGGCAACATCACCTTGCGAATGCTGGTTAATTGTTTTTCCCCTATCGGAATTGACGGGTTTCCCGTTGTCCTACCTGCTGGCCACCCCAACTGCCCACAGGTGGCGGATAGGGGAACAGCCTTCAGCGAAAGTTAGATGGGAAATAGGCATCCCCGGGTCTGGCAAATAGGCACTCACTCTAGCAGCGGCAGCGCTGCCGAGGCACGGTGAGCTGAGGTCTGACGCCGACTGTTTTATAAAATGTCTCGAAGCCCGGTGACGGCAGTATAATATGACTGTCACCGCCATTATATAAGCTTGCTTGCAAATGCTGCTTGTGGTGAGGTTTTTGAACCAAAGCGGTAGCGGCGACGACCAATCCGAGCGGCTGTTGGGGACTCGCCTGCATTCAAGATTCCCGAAGAATCTCACAAAAATGTCTCTTTCGAGTATCGTGATCACCAGTGAGAGCCGACGCACTCTGCAACCCCGGTTCAGTCTTTCGGACGAATAGTATGCCAGCTGGACCATCAAATGGAGAGCGGGTTCTTGATATTCAGTGCCGGAATGTGCAAGCGTTCTTGGACTCTGGCACCCACGGTCTGATGGCGCGCAGACTTCGTCAGCATGACGTGGAGGTATGTTGTCTGTCCGAACCAGACGCTCGGAAAATAAAGATCCCGGGGATCAACTCCCACTTCGCCCTATACCACAGCTGTCCACGTTATTTTTCCGGTAGACGAAGAGTGACGGTCGTTCTTTCACAGCAAACAAACCATGGAATGCTTATTTGAGAACCAGTCAATGGCCTGCTGACTTATGTACGACTGGGGAGTCACTTTACGCACATGTCTGCGGTGTCTGCCTATGGGCCAGCAACAGCCACCAGCAAGCACGATAAAGAAACTGACTCGCAGTTGTAAGCGCCAGGTGAAAGGTTCGCTCTCCGTGATTTGTCGATTGTTGTTGAAACCTGGTTTACTCCGATCCGGTGGCCCTTCAGACGGTCACCTTATTGGCCAAATTAGCCCTGGTCCTCGATGTGTGTCTCCAACACCTGCATCTAGTACCGCCACAAACATAGACTAACTTAATGTTCAAATGACGGCTTTACGACCAGTCAGAGTGACTACAGTCTAGTCGTCTAAAGGTCCCACAACTGAGTTCACCACAGCAGATCGATGCGTGATGCCGGGGCTGGCAACACCCGTGAGTCAGCTGTGTTCTCACTCCCGAAATTCCACCTATCATCTGCATCGAAATCATGGCATTCAAGACGCCTTGATGTCACAAGTCTACGACAAAACAGCATAACCAAGGCTCTGAGCACAGAAATCAGGTCTCGCTTTATGGCTCGAGCCGAAGGAGAAAGTAGCAGCACATGGTCATTATCGAAGTTATCAGTCTCTGAGGCAGCTGAGAAAATTCTTGTGTTTATTCAGCGACGCTGGCAGTGGTTGGATCAGCGGGAGAACTTTGCAGTTGTCTGCCCAAGAGGCTCGAGCCAAGTCCGGAAACGATGTTTCTTTTTGCCAGTACCGGAAAGTGACGGCAAAGTCAACTAGAAATAACCGAAAAAAGATATCGGGATAGGACTGTTGTTTAGATCCCACTGATTATTTCACGCAAGCTAACACGCCCACTTTGCGCGGTCATTCCCTAAAACTACGCGCAGAGGAAGCAAGGATCAGTGGACGAATGTTCTTTTTCAGTAACAGAGTGGTTGCAGCGTGGGATGCCCTGCCTACGGATGTTGCAATCTCCTCCTGTGTGAATTCCTTTAAGTGTGGACTTGACGCGTATCAAGCTTCCCAATTACCAGCCTCACATCCACTTACATAACGCGGCACCAACTTATACGTGTTTATACCACTCGTAATTAGTAGGTAACCGTTAATGATTACTCTTTTTCGACCAGCTGTCAGCTGTCCACGATTATGTACAAAATTCATTTTTCACCTTCCCACTTATCAATGTTTTTCTCCTACGACTTGTAACCGATAGGGAGTTCCATGGCGCTCGTCCATATTTATATTAATAAGCTGAAACTGAACATCACTACTCCATGGACGAATCAAAGACATGTCTTAGAGGGTGGATTGCAACCACCCTTTCCCATGGATATGCAGGTGGTGTGACACCTTCGGGACTGGTTCGTTAAATGTACACGGGCGGCGGCTCCGGGTGCTTTAAAAAGATTTAAGGGACCTTATAACTGACGGTTCGACTATCGCGAACGATGACATTCAAAGTATATCCAACGGAGTGGGTGCAGCGCCGGTGTATTGCGCGTAAACTAGTTTGTAATGACTTACAGAGAATTTACAGTAGATGGGGGTAACTCATGAAATGTCAACCGAAATTCCGAAATGTGTGTTCGTTCTGAAAAGATTAATTAAATGGCGTTGTAAAACTAATCGTCATGCAGCATAATTCAGTTTTTGAAAAGTCTCTAATTGTGCGATTTTTTATTACCGTGAAATGCCCTTTCATAAAACATCATGTCTCTGCATTTAGTAATATTGCTTCTTAAGTTCACAATATGGTCCAAATCTACTGTTAGATTTTATGAACCCCATATGGTCTCCTCTTAATACCTTAGGGAAATGTATGGTTTTCCGTACGCGGACAATATACGGCTTGTAGTTTGGAAACCCTGAATGCGAGTGTAACGTCACGTCGTGTTCAAAATTATTCGGGAATTAAGAAAAATTCTGAAAACCGAATTGTATCCGTTTTTCAAGTATACAATTTAAAGCAGAAGTAAATTTCTACCAAATGAGTAAAAGAACGAATATCTTTATGCATGTTTTCTATGAAATGTAATTGAGTTTTTAAGGGCATCGAAAATTAATCAGAACAGTGCATGCTAATTAAGTATCCAATTTTTACAGAGTATAGTTTTTGCATGCAGCCTAAAAGAAGTTCATTCGAAAGCCGGCATCCTGAGATAACTGGACTATTATGGAATTATGCTGCATGATGATAAGTTTTACAACGCCATTTAATTAATCTTTTCAAAACGAAAACACATTTCGGAATTTCGGTCGACATTTCATGGGTTAGCTCACCTACTGCACTGCGCTGTCCTTCATCTCACACCTGGCTTCGGTGGCAAGGCGGTGTTAGGCCGACTGCGTACGGGCTCGGACACAGTGGCTAAACAGCCCGTCTGTGCGTGCCACACACGACCAGGTGCTCGCAGAATGCACCATGCTTTCGTGGAAATGGCCCAAATCTCACGTGGGTGAGAAAGCCATTGAACCACTGAGCCTGGCCTTGAGTTCTGCGAAGGACCGAATTGGCCCGTCAGTTGGCAACCTTCCAAGCTACGAATTGTCGTGGTAGATGCAAGCTCGTCAGGCTTATTATAGCGAGGAATGGCCTGAAGTGCCATGGGTCAACCTCACTCTCCTTTCTCTTCCATACACCGGTCAATTATCCTAACTTGTCAGCCACCTGGTGCTGCGAGTGGGCCCAGTGACGGCCTACGTCTAAGCGTGCCACCGCACCCCACGTACGGCAACAGTTATTGGTTTGCGCGGACCCTACACTGCTCGATCAACCCCTGCTGTAAGCCCGCCCGGCCTCCGTTTTGGTGCAGCGCATCATTTTACGTAAATGCAAGAGCACGGCTAAATTTTCTTCAATAAAGAGACAATGCCATGCAGAGCTTTTACCGAAACAAGTCAGCAAATAAACACGCCGCCAAGTGATTTATCGTTACACTTATCAGGAGACATGCTAACGACAGTTGAGTGTTAGGAAAGGGTGCGCGGGACGCCGGCCAAATCTGTCTGTGCAGCCCCACCGACCGTTTGACCACTGTCTTTTGTGAACGAGCAGATTTGTGATTTCAGGAACGAAGATCAGAGTTCTACGTGTTCCTTTCCTGGAATAAAATCTGGTAGAGTTTGGCAATCTGGATCGTTGTCTGCGGCGCTTGTTCGCATCCGGCCCATGCCAGGGAGGTTCATGCCCATGCCGAGTCCCTTACCCCAAAGGATTTCTTTACGCATTGGATACGTGTTGCGTCCATTCTTCTCACACGTGTTGATCAACTGAAGGGAATTAGAAAGGTAGATATGAAAGCCTAGTTGCAACATTTCCCCAAACGTTTAACCTGTATAAGGTTCACTGCCAGCCTTGTATGAAATGAACTTTATTTACTAGCCGCATTGCTAGTTTTAGTTTAAAGTTATCACAACTTTTGCTGTAAACGCTATTAAGATCAGTCCTGGTGACATGTCGCCAAATGCACCATTTAAGCAGATTTTTGGAAAAATATAGTTTTTTTAGCCGCAACGCTCATGGAAGGTCCATGAAAGTCATTTTTGGCTTTGATGCATGCAGGTAACCATTTTATGTTTATGAAACCACGCCTCTTATTATGTTATACCTTTACCATAAAGTACAAAAAAATCCTCAAAAGTTATGCAATGATTAATTAACATTTTTGCACATAAATTCGCAAAAAATGGACTAATCAATTCTTAAATACGGCATTGGGTAAATTTACTCTAAATGTTTTGCATTACATTTTCGCATTACCATTCGTTAACATAGGTCAGTACGGTTAACCCATTTCCTTTTCCACACTCTCCAAACCGGGGTTTTCATGTGCGAGTGATATTACTTTGTCGCCTGAACGGTCGCAATAAATGTTGCAGTGGGTGGTTATTAAACTTGGCCCCTATCTGATGCCCAACGTTAATCCAGCGTTTCAGTGAACTGTGCTTAGCCAGCGACAACACCCCGATAGCTGCTCTGGGTTGCAGGTGGAATCCAAAGCAGGCAACCGATGCTGTTTTGCCGAGATTTTTTGTGTTGAGTTTTCTTGTCTGTGCAAGAGGCGTTGTGGCACGTTTAGATGAGGGCCTTACTCCCGGTCTACCATTACGTCGAAGTCAGCCTCATTAGTCCGATTTTGTCACTGTAATGTGACAATTTCTGCCAGATGAGTCATGGGCACTTCGTTGAATCGAAGTTCAGCGGTGTCGCGCCACCTGGCCTGCGCTGTCCTTGCAGATGACATATTTTTTAATGCAGGGGTGGATGCATACCGATTCATTGAATTTCCGAAGTACAGAGGCTCCGCATAGATGGCGGAGGTAACTATGAGGAAACCAACAGCCGTGTCGAACCAAACCAAGGCATAACAGCAGAGGATCTGTCGAAAGGGATACCGACCGATGGAAGGGGCTCCGTCTCAGGCTTATTTTGCCTTAATCCAGTCGTAGGCTTGTCCACCATCCGGGACCAGAAACAGAGGCATGCGTACGCGCAATCTGCCGTTGGTACTTCGTCGAAGCGAAATTCATCAGCGCCTTTCCATCTGGCATCACCTGTTGCTGCAGGTCAGGCACTGATTCGGACAGGAGTGGGCGCACGCCGATTCGGCTGACCTCCCAAATCCGGTGCATATAGGCATCAAAGTCAAGCCAACCTGTCTGTATCCTGTTGGTTTGGCATTTTCACTCAAACGAATTAGAAACACTGACTGCATGTATTGTGAGGAACTTGGTCATTTTACAGAAACGGCTCCGCATATTCATCTTTTTACCAAGTGGGTTACAGACAAAAAGCCAAACGGTCCATAAAGTGAGTCAGGCACCTAGAGGTCTAGAGACTAGTCTTTCAGCATTATGCTTGTGATCATATGTCATACGTCATTAGTAGCGATAGCACATTCTAGAAAATACCTTAATCTAACTTTCGGATAATGCCACTAGTTGCCAGGGCTCATCAGAGTATTTATAGCCCCCTAAAGTTTCCTTGTATAGTCTATGAGCCTGCGGTTTATTTGAATTTGTTTGCCAGTCCTCTTCAACGTGTAGTAGACCCTGCTTTTGAACAATCAAAGGGTGGATTTGAACAAAATCTTTCAAGAGACGGTTTTTAGACATTTTAAGTGTATGAGGGTCATCCGCGCTCTCATATTTTGGTTGCCTCCTGCTCTCTAAGTAAGCTATTTAAACGTTTTGTCAAGGACCGCTGATTTTCTTAATGCGTCACACCTTTATTTCTCTTGGCATTACCGTCCGAGTGTTAATGCCACGCGAGTTCCCTGACGCGTTCAACCTCGAAATTCACGAAATAATAATCATCATTGGGTGGCTTTCCTTCAGTCCCTAATTCCATTGTCTTTGTCGACCGCAGACCTTCTCATCTTACTGGCGTAAATAACACGATGTTGGAGATAATTGGTGACTTCCAGTGGTCTTCACCTTTTGGTCCTGAGCTATCAACATTTACGACTTCTGGCATTTTCTTGGAAATCAGGCCGCGCTTTGCAGGAACTTCTACCTCTACTGACTGCTTACATTTATTGCGTCAAACTGTTCAGTTCAGGTGAAGCTGCTATATAAATGACTACATGGTAGGCAGAAGTGCCAAGTGGTCCATGTCTAACAGACCCAATTTCCCTTCTTGACTACATAGAACATGGGCAGAAGAAGACCTATTAGATTCTGCCATGTGAAGATGCCCTCCAATTTGCGCCACATAAACTTGTCACAGATTTCAAGATTGGTGGAAAGGTCGATATCGCAGGCTTAAGTGGAAGTTTCCACCAAAACCCGAAATATGGACAGTAGACGTCTCTGATACGCTTGGGTTGCAACTGGTCCCAAAAGATCAGCGTTGCGGTTAATTTGGGCAGATTTATGAAACAGGTCGACGAATCCGAACTTAAATTCTGGCTTTCACGATCAACTAGTTGAGAGCGGATATTTTTTGACCCGCTTTACGATGGACCGTCAAAGTTTCCATGTGAGATGGCTTAAAAAATCACTGCCTGCTAATAGCGAGGTTTTCTTCTCTACTGTGTGCCCCCCATATTATTACGCAACATGGGCGTGACGAATGAACGGTCAAGTTCACAGACCCGTGTTCAGACATTCCATTTACTGATACAAGCGAAGATGCGAGTTCCAGGAACTAGTTGATCTTCTTCTGATTCCATTTGCTGGCTGGCCAACCATCAGCCTATGCCATATACCCCGCCGTGTCTCCTAAGACTCCGCTTGTACTGCCTCCCGTGCTGCTCAGTGCACGTCCTGCCTACAATCGGTCTTCTGTTTTGCATACACAACAAACTCCTCTGATAAAATTTGAGAATAAGGCAGTTTGGAAGCCTTCGGCATTTGAAACCGTAACTTAGGTGCAAACTGAGCCGAACGGCCTTAGCAAGTCGAAGAAAAGAGAATGTCGGCTCCACTTACGCGATTTGCGTAGTCCAGGAATGCCGCATCCTCCATTTGAGCATCTTCGTCACCTTCACGAGCCCACTTGATCTCTGCCTCCCGTTCGGATTTCCGATTCGCCTTGTGTTCCTCCTGTAAGCAAGAAAGGATAATTTTTTCATCAAAAGCTCTGTCGACCTCGAGTTTCCTTTTTCGTTTGGAAAGAGCATGAAGCGAGAAATGTCCCCGATAACTCTGTTATCTTTCGCCTGGCCAAATAATGCAGCAAAAAACAAGAGCAGCATATAGTAGTAATTATAGAATAAGAAGATATACCACTACTGTGCCATGAAGGATGCGGATTCAACATGTACGCAGCAATCAGACTAAAAGAGCATTAGGCTGAAGTCTGCTGTTGGACAAGAAGAAGTGCTCTGAAGTGACGTCGACAGTGACACCTTTCCTGTTTGAGCAAAAGGTAGGAGCTTTTGTTAAGGAATAAAATCCTGTAGATATTAATGAGGGAAATTCGGCAGACATGACATGGGAATAGGCACCCCCATGTAATGCAGATAGCCTCGTGTTAAATTCCAAGGAGAGTAGAGTTAGGGTTGAGGCTAGAGTTTGGATCAGTGTTGGGGTTAGGAGACGAGAATAGATACCCTTCTTGCAATTTATCGTAAGGCTACCTGCAATAAGAGGGAAATTCCTACTCTCGTGTCTTATCCTTCGGCGTTTCCTGAGAGTACCCGCCTAACACGTTAAACGTAGAAATCGATGTTATCGGCTCTTCATCCACCCGTCAATCAACCTCAACTGGCAGGATATACAAGGAACCGATAGACTACCTAAACGTCGGTTAACATAAAATCATTTTTGAGTAGTCCTTTTCAAGTAAAGTCCAAATGAGGCCTATTAGTTGTATTTCGTTATGTTTGTGAAGCCGTGCTACACTGCAGTATTGTTCATTACCCTGTTTCCTAATTAGTGGACGTGAATTCCCGTTCCTGTATCTGTCAGGTTCTGCACCATGGTCGCCAAATATGGGTTCCTGTAAACTTTCTTGTTCTGCTCTGACGATGAACAATGAAACAAACGGTTTCTACACAAACACATCTCGATACCGCAACAATTTCCACCTATGAATGTGACTAGCCCCTAAAAATCGTTAGTTAAATCCAACTAAATCTCTTTCTAGCCGCATTTTGGAGTTTTGTTAAAACTTTTTAAGGAGATGCTTATGTTACTTAATTTACTTGAATAAGCAGAGTGCCAAAGAAAAGTGAGAAAACATTAGTCCAAAGCATTATTGTACGATATGAGGAAGATTAAAGTGTGCTGGGGCATTCCTATGGAGCTGTGGTCAGCCTTACTCAGGCATTTCACCACGCGCAGCAGCCGCCATGGTACTTAAGCTCTTTCTCCTACCTGCTTACGTCAGCCGCTAGGCTGGTACTTACAAAGTTTGCTGAACGGTTGAAAAATATTTCGACCCGAACTCGTATCCGGCTCACGTCATCAGCAACGTTACGCTCTGTCTCTCTTCAATATGCCCTTTTCTCCCTGGCCTTGTACCCACGAGTGCTTTAGCCAGCGCGCATCGCGTGTTCTTATAAACTGACTACTCCGGAGACCAACTGCGAAAAACGGGTAGGCCTCCCCTACCTTGTTTAATTGCAACAAATCAACTGTTGATTTGACAGACCGTGGCGAATTCCATCGTGACCCTAACTGGCTGCGATCTACTGCTTGGGAAATAAACGTGCGTTGTTGAAAGACAGTGTGGATGACACTTAAAATGCCACAGGGAGGTACAGGGCACACCGGCAATAAGTGCCTGGGAAAAATCGTATTCCTTAATTCTACAGGAAGTGAAAACGACCTTTTAATCAGGAAAGGGCAGACGCAAGCTAGAAGAAAATTGAATGGGAACCGAAGGAATGGGGAAGCCTCTTGAGAACGAATAAATGACAAGACATTAGCAAGGGCAAGACCATGACGTAAACAATGTAGGTCCTGAACGTTACGCAAACTTATATAACCAATTGCTAGTTACCAGACCAGCTGACTTATGAGGTAGCTAGACAGCCTGCCAGTTTTCGTTCTTTATGAGACATACATAGGTTAGCTTTCACTTCTATGCTCTAATGACGCGTAAAGGGTAAAAAGCAGCCGTTCTCCGCGATTTAGTAATTATTTAACCAGATAGGTGGGTGGGTCTCAATTTCATTTAACTAAGCCGCAACAAAGTCAGGGAATCTAGTGTCCTAAATTTTGATATGAGTATAGCATCTATGAAAGGGGAAAGAGATGAGCTTGAAAAGTTTGTAGATCAAAGACTAAATCGCTCACTGAATGAGATGAATGCGATCAGCAGAGGCAATCTGCGTGGAGTGATGAGTGGTCCGAGCCACCGCTCCGATTACCACTTTGTGAGCGTTTATAACTCAGTCGTTCTTACATAATAGAATGCGGTAGGTATCCGTGACCGGCGAAAACAGCAAAAAACCCATTTTGTAAAGGAAAGAGATAAGAATCTTTTATAGAAGACATCTGGCCACATCAAGTTAAATAACGGAATGTGTTCAGAATGAAAATCCACATGTCGGTTCGACTGAAGCGATCTCCCGTGCATGCATTTTTGCTTGGTACATTCGTCACCACTACACATCGTCCAATCCAGTCTCCAGGTGAAAAAACCGCAACTACCTAGAGATCTTACTCGACTCCATTCCGTTAAGTATTTAACTATATGAAAGAGTTTGTGCTCTAGAGCAATTTCATCTACCACTGGTCAGTGAATTTGTTAGAGATTTGCTGTCATTGAGCTACGCACTGAATTGGTCACGTTGCCATTCTTCCCTACGAGGGCCGATTTAAACAAACAGTGCGCGGACTTTCACGTTCGAGTGGTATGATCTGAGAAGAAAAGAAAACAGACTAGAAATAAGTTTTGCTAGCAAGGATTATTAATGACGATGATAATGCCAGAACTCCTGTGCAATGTGGCCGCGTGATATGCCGCGAAACACTTGAAGTGAAAGCACTGGCTACTTTAGACGATACACTGAAGTACTCCCCTTTATAGCCCCCTTTGGAACCTCAGAAGTAACAGACGTAGAAAAGTCGGTGTGACTAATTTTTGTTTCGTCTATTTCCGCGATACGAAAATTCGTACGTTTGGAAGTTGGAACTGCACGGTTAGGAGTTTTTGAGGGCGAACATGAAGATGGGAAACCTACACATGTCTGGTCGGGAAGATGCGTTTACATTGTGAGCAGGGGTGGAACAATTGGTCAGCATGTGCAGTGGAGTCGGCGTAGCATCTAGGTTGTTATCTTTAGTAGTATCATTGTAGTATCATTGATTCAACGACTTTTCTGTCAAGAATCCGTTCTTTCCACTCAGCCCATGTTACCCTTCAAAGACAGCTTTAGTGAAAATGGTCGAATTTCTTCGCTTGATTCGATGAATTGCCCATGACTTAGCGTCGTGGAAAAGCGTTTTTAAGACCTACGCCTCCTGCTTCTTCAACTTAGTATTTTGGAAGAATGTATGCCCAGCCCCCTTCACTCATTTGCCTTTGTTACGAGAAGCGAGTCTGGCGGAAGCCGACATTGTCATCTTTATTCAAGCCAACTCGTGCGTGACTAGAGCCGTTTTCTTGATCGACTTCAAGTCCTGAAGGTTGTATTTCCCTACCCGAACAGCCCACCCTGGTAGATCAGCGAAGCTAGGTCTGTCTGTGAAATACACGTTCACAAATGGCAACATTACTAGTCTTGTTATGCTATGCTCACTCACAGATTATTTTTTGTAGAGCATGGCCCCAGTACAGGTTTCAGCCCTGGCCAGAGCTGATTTGACCCGGCTCGGGGCTCTCAACACTAACAAAAGACGTGGCTAACGCTCAGTGGAGCTGATGAACAAACTATGCTCCATTTACCCCAGTCGTTATGAAGCTTGTGCATGATGCAGGGGGAGTTCCAGTTTTCCATGGTCTTTTGACCCCAGTTGGTATAGCGCTAGGCGACAGAGGCAAGGTTTGGCATGCTGTAAAACCGCTTTGGTTTGTTGTATTTTTTCAGTGTTGGGTTAAAATCACGACAACCAGATATTTCTTATGGCACCATAACAATCGTTTTTATGTCTCTGATTTCCATACAGCTTTCATGATCATTCCTTTTGCTACGCATCTTACAAATCTTTTCATATTTAATTTTTGTATAGTCGATGTTTTTAACCTTCAGAAACATCCGTTTCGCTTATGCAAAAACACATCAAACTAGAAGGAGTAGCACAGACAAAGACAGAGGAGGCTACGATGACCCTTTCTGGTTAGTTAGCCGTCGTCAGCCAGGCCTGCCCAACCCCTGGTTTGCATGACCTGAGTTTCGGACGCGGATTCTTTGGTCAACGGTGGAATCGTCCTCGCCTTTACGGGCGCCGAAGGAATTGAGGGCCCATCCGATGCGACTGTACTACAGCCGTGGGGTTCACAACTACTTATGTCATTTAACTGCCTTCTAAAGTAGGAAGAGGTCATTGCACCTCCCCAGCCGTGGAACAACTGGCTACCCTGTAGTTGACCGAACAAGCAAAGCCTTGCCTTGAACAGTTCAACTGGGATCATGCATCCTCTGCACACGCACGAAGTTTCTTCTAAAAACTATTCTGCATAAGGCATTACGCAAACCCCTGCCATTTTAAAATATGGGCTTCTCATTAAAAAAAGGCATGGCCACTTCTGTTTCAATAAGTTCCGATTGGAAATTCATGTGGAAGTATCTTTTTAAAGACATCGGCTCGAAATAAACTCATTTTGCTTGGTTTCGGTTTTAAGTAGATGGTTCGACTAATTGGACCCCAACATTTTAAACTGCTGTACTCGTTGTCAGGCGAACCGAAATAATCTGCCTTACTGCCTGGAACTAATAGTAACTCCACAAACTGTTTCCAAATGGAAAGTTCGTTCACCTTTTTGGGTATAAGAGCTAAATTCTCTATGGCAACAGAAAAGATAAAGATGTATATCAACTGGTGTTCGAAATAAAGTGTTGCTCTTCTATTACAGACCCCCAATTTCTTTGCAAATGTTTACTTATCCATCATGATTGCTGAATGAAATATAGTTCCAGTACGCCATTGACCCATGGCTGGCTGGTAAGGGCGAATCAACTGGAAAGGACCATTCCGGTCTCCTATGTCTTTGTTGACAATACCTATCGAATACCCACACCCACCAGAGCGTCGCCAACAGTGGTTCACCAGGAGCTCACTAACATCGCAGTTATAGTGTGCCCTGACTTGGTAGAGTGTATTTGCAAGAATTTGACAAGATGCTCATATTTTTCAGTGTACATGTGTGCTCCATTCGTTACTCCCTTGGGGAAAAGTGGTATTAATGAGATCTACGCCCAATCAGTTTGTCTCCCGAAAGTCATATAGTCCTTGTCATTGATAACAGATCAATTGAAAATGGCGACATAGGACAAACTTATCGAAATACTCTATAAACAAGGAATTTTATGAAAAATTGGCGTGAGACTCAGGGTCAGGGTGAAGGGTTTTCACATCATGCATAATTTCGGCCGCGTTCCTCGTCCTCGCCAGATAAAGCTCTATGAGGTGACTGGAGAAACTGTCAGAATTAGTCCGTAAAGTCTGGCAGACAGCGGTCATCGAACGTCCGTAAAAGATGCAATGATACTGCTTCCGTTGGAGATTAAGGTTGAGGACAACACACACAATATCCCGCATGTCTCCTGGTTTTATTGCTTTCCAGCACAAATAAACCTTTAGGAGATAGCAATCGTGAGATTGTTGAGTCCTGCAAATAGTAATCCGATGCGTCTGCAATCCTCGCCCGTCAGCCGTGCCCTTCCTCTTAGACAGAAAGGAAGTTAAGGCGCTACATGCCTTGGACACTCCCTTACAGTCCTCAGTGGCACTAAGTAGACGAACAAGGTGGCTAGCAAGAACCAGTCCATTAGTGGAAGATCGTAGAGTCCTGGGAGCACGCGTCTTAGGAAATTCAGACGCAAATCTATCTTGTGTGATTGTTTGATAACCATAGCAGACGGGAACAGTAGACGATAGGGGTGAGTTATCTCAGTTCAGTCGGCTGGAGTTTAGTATAACCACCCCCTATCCAATGAATCGAAACCATGAACGGCAGTCTTACGAGACCGGTGGAAATAACGTTTTTTTGAGTTGGACAACTAAGAATCCCTAGAAGCTCCCCTCTTAATAGAAAGAATACCGACATATCAAATAATCGTCAAAGTATGGCGTAAACGAACGAACCCATAATATGACGATCACGCGAAAGAAAATGCATAAGACGGGCAAGCAACTAACAATACTCTAGCAATATAACTGTCAAGACGGCCAGCAAATGACTAGTTCAGTAATATTTGCAAAGGCATGCCGCACAGCAAATGCACTCATAGGAGCAGGGGGAAAAATCCACATATTATACCAAAATCTCATCTGGAGTAATCCCAGTGAGGTTTTTTCGATAGGCCGAAAACAAAAATTTTTTGAATAAACAACGGGGAGCCCAAAGTGTACGTGGTCTCGCGAGGCACAACTCCAACACCGATTGAAATGAAAGCGAGAGTTGGAGTAGATGTGCGCGTGAAGAAAGATATAAGTTCGCAGTTTTGGCAACTGCACTTTAATGTAGAGTACGCGAAGAAGATAGTTTCATGTTCTCCTCCCTAAGTGTATGTATTCTAAGCTACCTCACGCACCCTGATGGGACCTGCACAAGATTTATTATACAGCAATTCACTACTCAAGTAAAATAAGGAGCAACAATGCTAGCGCAAATTAAAAGCTGGGATGGCAATACTACACTCATGCTAAAATTATTATTATCACCATAAAAGGTGTCAAAATACAATACATAGCAAGAAGCACTGGAAATGTTTTTTCCCACTCCTGTGCTCATCATTTGGACACCATATACTAGGACTAATGCCTTCCAACACATACGGGCTATTTTGAACACCAAGAGGCCCACTCCTAGAATACCCTGCTTTTGACAGGTAGGCTTACGGAGAAGTATCTAATCGAGAAACGTTACCAGCGAAGACAAGGCAGACTGGGATGGTTGTTTTCTGGCTTATTTTAAATCACCATCATCCTACATATTTCAGTACTGAGTGCCCAAACATCACTTGCTTATAGGTTGTCTGAGTTCTGTGTTGAAATGACTTGCTGGATGCCTGTAGTTTGTCTTTTTTACAAGAGGTCTACACAAAACATAAAACAAGAGTGAAGACGTTGTCGAAGGGATGTGGAGAACACGGCTAAACCAACCCAGGGGCCAAAATCTAGGCGGATGCACCAAAATTAACAACAATTTATTACGGTTGTGCAGGTGTTCACGACCTGGTAAACTCACTAAGAAGGTGTCTGACTGATTTACTTGCTCATGTAAAGCGCTGGTAATTGGTAGGTGAAGCACCCAGTTTGCCCAGAACGATGGCACTGCTCATCCATATCCGGCCGAGATGGTAAACGCCCTTCGATATCGCCTACAGATCGTCAAGTACCAGACTAACAGGCGTTCAACCGGAGAGAATATTGACAGGGGCCCTGTGAATAACCCGTTTGAATGCAATCTCGATAGATCGTGAGGGCCAGATCGATCGCACCATGCCCTATACTAACTTGTACGAGCGGATCAGTTATAACGCACCAGTTACACTTACCGCCTTCTGGAGGTAGTCATCAGCCAGTTCCTTGCAGATCGCCCTACTTTTGGCCTTTTTCTCGGCCTCCTCTTTGACCAGGGCTTCGGCGTCGGCAATACGCCTCTTCAGGTCCTCGACGGCCTGTTTCTCTTCCTCATCCCTTGCCGCCGCCTTCTCCTTAAGTACGATATGCAGATGCTCCAGTACTTCCCGGATACCCTTCTCCTCCTTTTCCTTCTTAGCGGCCTCTTCAGCCTCAAATCTTGCCTCGCGTTCCTTAATTGCCCGTGCGATACGCTCATCTTCATCATCGGCCTGAAGTCGAATCTGCTTCTCCAACAACTCCACTGCTTTTCTCTGCATGTCTGACTTTGCCCTGAAGGGGCAGGTCATAAACAAAAAGAAAAAGCCTAGACGTAGCTAAATGAATACCCTAAATTTGAGTTTTTATTCACATATAAAGTCCGAAAAGACGTGTCAGTAAAAGCGGAAAGCTAAAATCAGGGGTTTTGACTAAATTAATTTCGTCAACTGCAATGAAACTTCAGGCCGAGAACGTTCTATATTGACCATAGGCCAGACATTTCAAACGAACGGAAGACAAAATCTGCGACCATGGATTGCTGTGGAAGTCAGCAAGGCAGAGCTTACACACGTCGACTTCCTCATGACAGAATCTTAGCCGCATTGCAATCAGACACTGTCGACACATTAAGAGAGAAGTATCCTGAACAAGAAAACTTTTCCCAGTGCGGTCTCTACTGATAGCAATGAAAATCACTAATCTGCTGAGATCGATCTGTCCTCCTTCCTCCCCCCAAGCAGACTTTAAAACTGTTAAAATGTGGATCTTGTTGTTCCACTGTTTGTCATTTCAGTCAGTTACAGTAACAGTTTGGTTTTGATGAGCAAATCCCACTAACTGTCCCTCTTACTCATTTGGGGACCGAAATTGGCCATCGGTGCCCTTTAATCAATCAACTTGCTGATAACGTTCCAATGTCAAGTTCGCATTCTCGAAGAAAGAAATTGGGCGATCTAAAATACCGGATGATGAACGAGTCCTCTCTATGTGCTCCTTTCCAGTTCTCGAAGGCCTTTTTGGAATGGTCATTGTGTACCTTCTAAGTGTTATCTAAATGGTTTTCAAACGAGGGATATTTTTAAGCCACTTTATGCCGATTAGATATTTGTTTGACTATTAAAACGCAAAACATGTAGGTCATATGTCAGGGGCTGGCATACATCCTATAATTTTGTTAATTAGTAGCTCACCAGCCTCCCAGCCGGGAAAATTAACCGGCGTGCAGAGAAGTATATCTACTAGCGCTGACTACCGTAGCGGGCGAAACTGGTGCAAAAATCGAACCGAAAACTAATCCTTAAAAATGATGTAGTTAATCCACCCTTATGCATTAATTTGTGTAATTCCTCCCAGCAAAAGACACTTGCCTTTAATTACAAATTATTTGACTTCTAAGAGATCGATTTTGTCTGAATTGTTTAGTTAGATTGCGCGCACATTTTTCTCGACAAGGCTTCTGCACTGCAATATTTTTTCGTTGTCTAATATAAATATTCACCAAAATAATCTTATCAACGATGTGAATAGCATATCGTAACGGGATATTCAAGTTACGGAAAGTCTAACGTTCTCCGCAGTAGTGCAAAATATGACAAGGAGACTTTGGAGTTTTTTCTTGTATCCGCTTGAAAGTGGTTTAAAGAGCGTTTTCGATTTGACGCTCCTTTGTGAAGCATCATAATTGATGCTGATGATAGTTCCTTCACCATACTCCACGAGGACTACCGCTGTCTAGAATGACAAGGGTTACTTACACGGCATCTACCCAACTCTTTTCCCGAAAACAACGTGATTCAAATGCGATGCTGAGGCGAGTGGAGATGGGCGAGGACACAGTGACTAAAACAGTTAAACCAACCCACACGTACTGCTTCCTACATGCACGCAAATCAAACTGCAAGAAAAAATCTCGGATCTTCCTGTAGAGACTGATGGTTAATAGTAACAAGACTCCATTGCACTCCGACCCTCAGCCTGATCGAAAACAGAGTTATCTCGATACTTGAGCAGTCTTGCAAGCCATGAGCTTTGCCGTGTAATGGCAATCCAAACAAAGCGCTGGGCCGACACGAACAAAGTAACGAAGGTTTCATTTTCACAGACCCACCATAAGTCAAGCGTTCAGCTTCTCCTGGCCCACAGTTCTGCCCTTTCCTACATCTTCAGGAGCTTACACTTCGCTGCAAGTGCTACAGGGCGCGCTCAAAATATTCCTTGCAGCAAACCTAGTAGGCGAATTTCTGCTCTACAGCACAGATGCGAATAAGGATTTCCTCCGAGACCGACAATAAAATAGCGCAAGTGCCCTGTCGTAACACCCTGTTCCCGTCTTTGAAAATGACTTACTGACTTCATGCGACCCGCAAAGGCCCCTGCGCAGGCCGCGTACTAAACATAATTATCATTTTCGTTGCGCGGATCAATAGGCGCCCTGAGCCCCGAGGAGTATACGAGCGTTCGCAGGTTCGACAATAGACCTGGTACATGCTGATAGATTTCTTTTATACACAGAAACTTTTAGAAGAACGAATGGTTCTACTGATAGACGGTGAAACAAGGGGGCCCGTTAAGGAAAGAAACATCCTCTGTCCGCCGGATATCATTGTCTACTCCGAAAAGCGACCAGAATGGCCGCATCTTTGACAATTTAATTATTATGACAGTGGGAGCTCACTGATCAGGTTAAGGAGCATGCAGGATCCATTGTGCCTTGGGACTCATACTAGAACCCTCGCAGGCAGTCGCACAGCGAATAGTAGTAGATGTAAATCAGGTGGTACCGACAAGGACAAGGGAGATCGAAATGGCCATTTCTGGCTTATTAGCCGTCATCAATCAGCCATACCCAACCTCAAGTGTGGATCACTTGAGGTTCAAATCCGGGATCTTTGGTCATGGAGTTTGACACTCTACCACTGAGCCACGGGCCCGTTGTCCTGTCGGTTGTGATCAGAAATATCAATTATGACAGTGGGCGCTCACCGATCAGATTACGGAACATACTTGTTCCGTTGTGCCTTGGTTCTCATACTAGAGCCCCCTCTGAATGATAGTTTTTGATTTGACTGGTTATTGTAAGTGGTTGTCAAAACTAAGTGCAACGTGGGTAACCAGTGACCCCTGTGCGACACCGCGTACGAGAGTCTGTGGCCAAATTAACGGACATGCAAGGACTGTTAGGAGGCAACAAAAACTTATTCGTCCCTGCAAACGAAATTATAACTTAAAGGACAGGCTCAAGAATCCGAAGTCGGAGGTTTTATTTCGGAACGTCTACCAAACGAGCTAACGCCACTGTATCGGATCATTAGGGGGATTTTACGATATTCAGCTTCCGAGTTTCTTGAGACGATCAACTTATGACATGAAAAATGATCATGCCTGAGGTTTCCTACGGATCCGGTAGAAAAGAAGCGCACGAAACTTGCGATCACACGGTGTCGGTGAATCTGGGGTAGTTTCCAATTATAGCAGACAAAGCAGACTCTCATGTGACAACGGGGAGTCGATGCGACCACAAAGGCGGATAAGTGGGTAGGCAGAGAATTTCCTATGAAATGGCGGAGGAAATCAGTTCATTTTCTGACATTTGCTTTCTGAATGGATAAGTGCGAAACTATTTGCACACTTCGATTTTGGCTAGAGTCTATCTTAAGAGCCCCAGTATCTATGATTTTTAAAAGATCTACTGGGTTAAGACCCTCCTGAAACCACTAACATACAGGAGAAGTTCTTGCCTCTTATTATCTGCCTTTGTTATGCTTAACTTTAACATAGAAGATATGTGTTTCAAAGGGGAGGCGTCTTAAATGCGTATCGCATCTGGCCGACGGTGTAACTAAGAACGATGAATCAATGAACCTTGAAGGTACTTGTGCAGTAGCGCGACTTCTATTTGGTCATACCATATGCAAAGTCTCCTTCACAGGTCTTCAGGTTACAACAATGAATAAAAGCGGCACATTACCTCAAAAACCTCATAGTCCGCATAAGAGTCCGATAAGTGGAAGCCGAATGCGGCACGGAGATACAAAGTGCGTGTATCCGCTGGACAAGTTCACAAGGTGCGAATTTATCTTGTGAGCCCCAGTACTTAAATAGGACATTATATCAACCCAGCGCGACAACATAGGTTTGACCTTTTTTCAGCGGACGATACTTTCGCCCCAAGCGATCGACTCGTGGTCGCGGTACTCGTGACACAAGTCAAAAAAACATTTTAATCTTCAAATGTGGGGTAAATCGGTACGGCCAAGTTTTGATTTTTAACCGACTTTCAGATCGCACCTCATTTTAGTTTATTCGTCGCGTTGTGGGAACCACCGCTACCTGCAAATGGATGACCTGCACGCAAACTAACCAGTGATAGCGTGAACTCGTGAAGCACGATTTCTGCTATTTTTCCTCTCATTCTCGTCAAGTTCAAGTGTAAAGATGAATACTGACAGTTAGAGGAGATATTGGATGTATTGACTACAGGGAAATTTGCTTCATTTTGACGCACATGATTGATCATCTCCTTGCCCTAACGGGCCTTCGCACATTAAAATTCTCGTAAATATAAGCGCTAATATAAACATCACAATGAGGAGGACTTATTGCATCCCGTCTGCCAGTCACTGGGACCACTAATCTCACCAGCTAGTAGCCTCTAAAGTCACGACGTCTAAAACACAGGGGTGGGTCGTACGCACGTCAAATTGAGCAATGTTAAACTTTGGATTTTGGGAAACCTTGCGACCTTACTGGTTTCCAAGTAAGAAACCATTTTCGATGATGGCATTAACGTACATTCTGTTCTCAAACTCATGATAGGTCCGCCTTCGTGGCAGACTCGCACTGTGACACATATGTGCAGATGTTTTGATCCTGCCTTCTGTGTCAATGAGGAAAAATGTTTCAAATAAGGGGTTCACGGCAGTCGAACCGTCGTTTCTGCGGATGCCACAATGTGCTCCACAGAAGGGTGGACGCAGGGATAGTGACTTGCGCGTAAGTTAGTACACAGCGATAGTAGACTTTCGAAGCATATACTGCACTCCGTTCTCCCTTCACACGTGATTCCGGTGTCATGACAGTCATATGCAGGTGGTCGGCACGGCGTAAACTCGCACCTCAACGCGTGCCACCGCACCGGATCGGCTGCCAACTGAGTGGGAGTGCAAGAAAGGCCACATTAAAGAACCATTATAGTCTGAATCTTAGTCTACAGGTCGATCACTCCACACAAACGCGCACTAGGCTGACTGCGAGATCTGGGTTATACCGTCAGTTGGCGACCTTCTAGGCCATGACGTTTAGCACCCCTTGATAGTCTCAAACGCGTCAGATTGCTTGTAGTGAGGAATATGCGCCGAGCCCGCCGATGTCAGTCTCTCTTTCCATTCCGCGGCACCAGTCCAGTGTCTAATCCTGTCAACTTTCTGATGCGCGAAATGGGCGCAGTAGTTATCAGCACGTCTGTGCGTGCCGCATGCACGACCTGACTCCCGAGCACCCCTACCTGGTTACACACACAGGGGGATGCGTCTCCGAACCAACATGTGTGAGAGCATGTCATTTATGAGGTACATTTGCATTTTTACTGTCAGTCCACTGGATGGCCAGTCAACATATGACCACGCAATTAGTCTGGATGCGTAATCTGAGTTGATGTGTCGGTTGACAACTTTCCTAATCACGGCTTATAATACACTGTGACTGCTTCAAACTGGTCAGATTGTTTATAATTAGGAATATGCACTGGATCCGATGACCTCACTCATTCTACCCGATTTAGTGCACTACTCGACTGTCTTAATTGATCAGCCAACTGATGCTTAGATTTGAAGAGGCGGGTGACAAGGCTGAGAGTAGTTCGTCTGCGCGTGCCCCACACGCGCACACAATTGAGGCGATGACGTTTGGTGTATTTTGGCACACCAGGCACTGGTTGCCTAGTCTCTGTGAGACGGATTCGAAAGTGGCCGACCAGGCTGATGCATGAAGTGAATTCGCGGCGACCGTGTGGACAACGCAGGTTGGGGATGCTAATTCGGTTGCCACTTTGGTGCTTATAGTTGAGGAGGCGCTAATGAAGGGGAAGTTGACTGGGCTGGAGATGGGAGAGTTGGCGGATTTGCAAGATGTGCTAGGCGTGTCAATATTGCGGTGCATTGCGCTTTTGTAGATGCGCCTGTAATCGAATAGTTCTAAGCGGTGAGTGAATGTGTGCGAACACTGTGAGCAGTGGAGGCGGATACGATGAGGGTATGTGGGGGCTCTTGGCACCAGTGCGCCGGGCGCAGTGTGATTGGCTCACAAATGACCGACCAGGACGATGCGTGAGGTGAATATGCGATCGAGATGGGAACAGGTTGGGACCGAATCTGTATCGCTGGATGCGGGAGTGTTAATGGTGAAGGTTGTGGTCGACGGTGTGTCGCGAGTGTCGGGGAGGTGGTGGTCGTCCTCGCCACCACGGAGGGTGTGGCAGGGAGGATTGAAGTGGCGGCGATCGACGGCGGCGTAACACCGGGACTGTGATCACCGGTGGTTTGGGTGGGCGAAGGTTTGGCTGGCTTTCGACATCCGGGGTGCCACTTCATCGTCGATTTTGATGCAGCGTAAGAGTTCGCTGCCTGAGTAGGCGAAGTTGTACACGGCCCTTATTTGGGAGCCGTTTAAGTGGGTGCGATGAGCACTGTATGCAGTGTACACACTGTATACGCTGATGCCTGACTACTGTTTTGTCGGCGTTGATGGTCAGCCCGAAGTTTGCGCTCCCGGCGAGGATGAGGTTCATGTTCCGCTGGATGCTTGAGCCTGGCGCTATGTTTAGCACGCAGTCGTCCGCGATGAGCAGATCCTGGACAGTAGTCGTGAATAGACGAGTCGGAGCCTGTATGAGCCGGCTATTGAGAAGTTGGCTATCGGTCCTGTAAGCGATGCCGATTTTGGGCCGCACATCACGATAGGCGTTTATCAATATGGCGGAGAACATGAGGCTAAAGAGAATGGGACGAGTACACAGCCCTGCTTCACACTGCTGGTCGCCGCGAATGTTTCTAGGACGGCCACATTGTCCGTGACGCACTATGTGCGTGGATCACCGTGGGAATCCGAATTTCTGAGGATCATGGCGTACTCTAGTCCGTCGAATATGCCCATGAACTACGTCCACTTATTATGATTTCGTCTGTATTCTCATTTCTCCATTCATCACCGAATCTGCTAGTCGTGTATGCGATGTTAAAACAGCACAGTTTATGAGCGACTGTCTTATTGCAGGGTATGAACCAGAAAACTAAGTTTCCTAGCATTTTTTCTCTAGGTCGGACAGCTAAAAGTTATGTGACTCAGTGCTTTAATCCAAATTCCGACTTTTGATTGAATTGTAAGTGCACTCCCTTATTATAGTTTTAAATTCTCTCCCAAAGCTCGTTTCTGCTTGTGTTGGTTGCAAAACGTCAATTAACATAAGGCCGGCATCTTGTCCCTCATCGAGAAAGCCTTCCAGGGCACCAAATAAAATTTTTAAGCATTTATGCGTACCTCTGGTATATGCGAGCCAATTTGGAGCTTTGATTTCACTTTAAGCACAACCGTTACTACTTAAGCTGATGCAAATCAAATGAACAGAAAAAGTTTCGTGGAATATTTCAAGAAGAAAATTTGCCACTTTAGGCCTGTACGCAAGACTGTACATCTTAACTAAATCTCTTCGATCGGCAGAGTATCGACTCGAGGCCACTGGCTTTGTGCTACAGTTAATGTATGGATGCCTGACAGTCAACCTTTAAGAATGGAAAACGGCCAGAACTTACAGAAAAAGGGAACGCTCCTTATCCATTCGCATTATAGTCATCTTTCTCTTGGCAGCTGCGTATATCCGGATGTCTTCGTCGAATTCCTATAACAATCGTAAGCACAAAAAACGTATAACAGCGGCACAACTACTTCAGTGTTGGAAGTCGGCTTATTTTAACGCCGGCGCTCACGTTTAACGGCCAGACGCAGAGTTAAGAAGTAAAAAACCTTGAACGGCAGCCGCGAGTCGAATCTTGATCTTATACTTTTTTATCTGTCAATAATTTGCAAGAGACAACATTCGGCCTGCCCGGTTTCTACCATGCAAATTTTCCTGCATGGTAGAATGTCATGGCTTAAAACTTCAGGGTCGGTGTTCCGAGGCCTGTAATTGTACAATATTCTCGTGTCATTGATACGGGAACAGCATGCGGTCGCTGCTCCTTAAAAAAGTAAATAAAGACCACAAAGTGCGCGATAGGCGTCCGAGGTTGTGCAGATTTAGAAAACGAAAGGAACCGAGTTTCATTGCCAACGGCATTTATTACGCTTGACGCTTGAGCTTTGTGCATACCGACTGATTAATTCTGACAATGTTTAACCTATCTCTGTTTGATCAGTTGAACCCTCTTAACATTATGCTGTTCTCTACCCAGCATATGTATGTAAGTACAACGGTTTTGAACAGCATCGATGATTTATGAAATTGCTCAGGGATTATGATGGATGGTTACTGGATGCAGCTTCAACACGACATCAAGATACCAGCGAATCTTGACAAATTAAGACATTCAGATGGGCATTTGGTGAGCTTACGCGTGCTTTCGATAAATTCTCATCGGGCCTGTACGAGGTACAAACTGAGCGTGAGTGATAAGTGCAATTGATTACGGTTCGTCCTTTCATACAAACGGGGTATGCGAATAGAGTGGAGGGGGGGGGAGAGAGGAGGCAGTCAGTGACAGTGAGGGTTAGGCTGAACCGTGCCACAAGGAGGGGGAGGGAAGGTGGCGGGGGCGCGGACACCTGTATACAGTTAATCGATCCTGGCCCACGGGCGCACAGGACCGGCCTCTGTAGCCTGATGGCAGTTGCCTCTGCTGTTTCTAGTAGATGCTGACCCAGTCGCTTAGGCTAGTTAGGTGGGACCCTGAAAAGCACACGAAAGGCTTCGTTGGGATCCGCACGGTGCCCAGAATCAACCATGTGTGCGAGGATGGAGCTGTGTATGCTTTTAACTTCATTCTTCCTCAGTCATGCCGGCAGGTGTTCTCGTATTCTTGCGGATGGGCGCTGACTCGTACGACCAAAGTAGCCTGATTCACAGGCGCAAGTAAAGGAGTAAATGCACATGGAGGTGGTCTGAGTTGGTAACTTATCCCTACCTTCCACGCGTAAGACCGGGTTGGTCGAAGACAATACTTGCTACCGGGAAGGTCCGTGATACGGCTTGGTCAAGGCGCCTTCTCAGGAGCTAACTCGCCGCGTCCCCTTGAAAGGGGACCTTCAGGAAAAGAGTTTTCTTTTCTGCGGTCGGTATGATAAGTTTGTACTTATCACTTACACGTTCAGTTTATACCTCGTGCCCATATCAATGTACAGGCCCGAGGGGAATTTATCGAAAGCACTCGTAAACTCGCCAAATGCTCCTCTGAATTGCTCCATGGGAATTTTCGCAACTTTAAAATTAAGACATGTTGTACGATTTACCGTACTGACAGAACGAGTACTAACTCAAAGTATTTAGGTAGTACCTCTATTGTCAGTATGGTAGGTCATGCAACATTTGTATAGTATTTGCTGTCTGTTGGCAGTCTATGAATATTACGCGGTTGTCCCGATGCCGCTGATGATTTCAGTTCAAATATTCATAAAACTTTCGGATTTAGTCTATAAAGCTTCCTTCTGACCGATTTGCTCCAAGCTAACGATTATTTTATGACAAATTAGGATTCCAAGCCCCATTAGAAACGAGAAAGCGCCCAAGGTGGCCCAGTGTGACCGTAGAGATGAACATATAAAATTTCAGACGATTTAGGGCCCTTATATGCGGTGCGTTACCTAACTCATGAAAAGTGTCGAAGTTCACGAATGACTGCCAATCGCTGGCAATCCGACACCAATGTGTTAATAAATAACAACTTTAGGAGAGACAAAAACATAAAAGAAATGTTAAAGGTATGTTACGTTGTTTAAAAATACCAAATCTTCCAGAAAAGTGAAAAATCCCAAAAACGTCAAATATGGGTAAAATTGTGTAAAATCCAGTTTTCGATGTACAGGAATCTTGTCCATACAAAACGTTGAGTAAATACGACAGCACAAATAGAATGACCTCTGAAAATAAGTATTTAGGCTTGTTACGACAGCTGAATATGGTTGGAGTTTTCAACAGGGCGGTTCTGCCAGAACCTAACTAATTCTGTTTGTCAATCAGGCATGTAATAACCTACCCCCACAGCAAAAATTACTGACGCAAGAGATGCGTTTTTTTGCTGCACTTTCTAATTTCCTTCAAAGATAAGGAATTCGCAAATTATTTCTCATAGTAATAAAATCTGTTGCAGCTTTCACTACTGTGACCCGGCTGAAGGCCGAAAGATGCACTCTAGGTGCAGTCCATGTCGCGGTCTTTAAGAGCAGCTCCGTTGCACAAGCCAAGAACAAATAAGAGGCCTACGTTTTAAACGCATTGAATTGCTACCGGCATCCCCCATGCAGATATTTAAGTCCCGAATCAAGAATTCGGCCGAGGCAAGGTTCTACGACATTTCAGAGTGAATTGTGCAGAGGCCAAATTATTAACCCCTAAAACCGCATTTTGAGGCGTAGGTCTGTTTTAGTGTGAGTCCTAACAGAAGAACGACTGAGAGAACAGTAGGCCCAGTGCGCACAGACTGAGGACTGTGGTTTTTACAAACTAACGCGGGATAGGGGGGTCTTAAGATAATAAGCGGAAGAGCACAAGACGCCCTACCTCGTCTCTGATTTTCTCAATAGTTTTCATCTTCTGATGATCGCTGATAGACTCAAGTAGTATTTTATTGAGGTCCTGCATTTCCCGCTTTCGTTGAAGTCCCTGACGTCCCATTTCCTCCTCGGCCTCCAAGGCAAGCTGACGGATTTTTCTTCCCTCGGCAAATTCTGCTTCCCGTTCAGCGGCCTTTTGCTTCTTATGATCTTCTATCCTGCAGGAATAAAAAACCCGCGTATTCAGATGCACTCAGACCTTTTGAGTTACTTCATCAAATTACATATTTATAGGTCAGCTGAGGTGGTCACCAAAATTGCTACGTCTCTCATTGGTGAATGGCTTATTCAGTAATTTATATTCTGGTAGTATCTATCGGTCGCGTTTTGATCCGTAGTTCCCTGTAGGTAGCATGTGTCGTGCTGCATAAATTCTTTCAGCTAAACCGTTGCCTCGACTGATTCTGCCAAGAGTTACCTTTTTGTGATGTATGTCGAAAAACTGAAAATCATCTGCATTTCCTAAAACATCACAAGATTCGAAATTGGTGAATTTGGCCAATATTGGCAGTAGTATGCATTCTAAACTCTCACGCACACAAGAGCATACTGTATGACGTGGGCAAAATTTATTTCTGTAAAGAGTCCTAGAGATGGGACAGTCGGCTGTCGACAGCATTCGTAAACCTGACAAAGGAGTCAGGCAAACTTGTAACCTCTCCAGTAGGCTGTCAATACAGCATTCTTGGAAATGAAACTCAATTTATCAGTGATGGCAGTAGAATTATAAATTTCTGACGGGAAACAACTGAAAGCTTAGGTAAAAAACTGGTTTACTTGCAAATTCCAATGTCCTTTGGCACGCAAGTAAACTGAACAACATCGACACAAATTGAACAATACGTGTCGAGAATGCTCAAAATGCGGGTTGTTTTTCTGGTTTCCACTCCACAATCTTCGAAGTTCCAAGGTTGGCAAGTAACTTATAGTTTTAGCCAACGAGAGAGGCACAATATTGTTTTTTAATGAGCTGAAAAAGTCAGATGCTTCAACGTGTTTGGCAGAGGCTAAAGCCGTAGGCCATCAGTGGGTGGACAGCAGTCTGGTTTCCACCCGAAGTTCCGGGTCCAGAACGTCACAACCCATAACAAACGCTTCGCTAGACACCTTAACTCTCGCGTTTTGGTAGACATCTCTGGTAAGCATAGCTGAAGTCTTTCCGAACAAACAGTACGTGACGTATACTTACTGCGTTAGGACAAAGTTCTTACTCTCCATGGTTGCCTGTCTTGCACGGGCTGCCGCCTCCTTCTCCAGTTTGATTGCTTAAAAGCGAGGAGGGTGAGATTTACATAGGAATCATCCTACCTTCATCCAGCTTCCGAAGGAACTCCTTATACCCTTCGTCTCCTTTGCTTTTTTCGTATTCCTCCTGCATGGCCTTTAACTGCATCTGCAGGTCACGCTCCTTAAGAACTTCGGTCAGATGTAAGGCTTCCTAAAATGAGCTTGAGGATAAAGGAGTGGGCAAGATTACATGGAACCTTCTGACTCTCTCACTCTCGTAGTACTGCATGGTTCTGGCCTCGCAGAGTTTCTTTCGTCTCTGCTCGGCCTGGTACCTGGCCTCCTCCTTGTCCTTCTCAACGCGTTCGGCCTCCTCTTTTGCCAGGCGTTTCTCACGATCTGCCAGCTTCTTGGCCCTTGCCCCCTAGAAAACACAGTCGAAACCCAGTGTTATTTAAGGATGAGAGCTAGGACTGTAGCACTTTAATTCAGCGGAACACGATATCCTATGCACATTGCGGAAAAATAATCCACAGTCTGCATCTTTTTTTGTACAGAGGAAGTTTTCACAGCAGGACTTGTTTGCACGTACGTCATATACTCCCTCCGATCACGTTCTACTTGACTGCACTACTTGATGAGTTTTTATCCCTATATCGACCGTACGTTGGCAGGCGTTAACAGCTCTGCCTCTGACCCCTCCAAAGATATATGTCACCGAGTACCATCAATCTGCTAGCATTTTGGAATCCTGTCCGCTTAAGAATGGCCATTTCTGGCCTCTTTGCCGCATCAGGCAGTGAGACCCAGACGCCAGGCTGCACGCTTGAGTTGATTATCGAGGAACGCCTCAGCTGATGCTGGGAATGTCCGACCATCAGTCTGAACCCGCGTTAGATGAGGATAACAATGACTGATCTTGGCCGCCACCATTCTGTGGGACACCAGATTCATGAGCCCACCGATGTTTAACCCCCTTTTTCAACTAAACATACTGATAACAAGAGCTAGGTGAAACTTTCGGCTGCAAAAAAATTGACTTCCATTCAGTGCGGTTAAAGATACTGACTACACCGCGTCCTATGGGAAAAGCAAAAGTGAAGTTTTTGGTAAAGGTGTGGCGACTGAATTACAAGCCAAAGTAAAGGTCCTGAAAGGGCGTTCTGCCTGCGGACCAGCGATGATGCTATTATACACTTTTTGCACGAGAAAATTGTTCAGATATGTCTGCTTAAGGTAGTCTTATACAGCGATATGTAAGCGCTGTTCTGTGGGTATGCAGGAAGCCAGAGAGGAAAACATGTGAAAACTGCGATATTATCGGCCTAGCGGAGACCCCAACAAAGATTATTCGGCACCCTAAAAGGAGTCCGAGTGGTATGCTATTCTAAAGCGCGGTCAGACAAGGCTGGCCTCAGGGAAGGGAGAGAAGGTCTTGATTGGCGCGTCACACTTCCACGCTCTCCCGAGCTCTGTTCACATTGCTTGCAACCAAACACTGTGCCGTAGATGCGCCCTTCAGTCCAATACGACCAGAATTTGGGAAGAAGTCGATGGCAGTAGCGTTCCCATGAAGTCGATCACCCCGGTCCCAAGCTGCTAGCACCACGGTCAGTGACCAATCTCATTAAATGTTAACTGTAATTCTGAAATACAATTTTGATTAGGAATGACTACTTAAGAAAGATTTAATAACTGATTCACACGCGGCATAATCCCACGATATTTCAAACGTGCCGGGATGTTGTCTTTTGAGTGCACTTCCTCTTGGCCATCTGACATGATCGCACACCGTAAAAGAATGACTATTAAAGCAGTCCAGTTCAGTTTTATGAAGGGAATTATAGGGGAACGCCTTTGAACTCCCCATTTGTTACAGATCGTCTGAAAAAAGCACCGACAAGGGGAAAGTTGAGGGAGAGAGAGAGAGAGAGAGAGAGAGAGAGAGAGAGAGAGAGAGAGAGAGAGAGAGAGAGAGAGAGAGGGAGAGAGAGAGATTGGGTACCTAGTTGCAGTTGTCTGCCAATCGAAAAGGTAAACATTAACGCCTACTCGCTCATCAGAAGTAGTACAGACAGATGTAAGTTGGTGGCTGACCATGTGAGTGTACGAGGCTAGTAATTGGGAGCTCGATACTCTTCGAGTCTGTACTTCAATGGATCCACACAGGAGGAGAGTACAACATCAGTAGGCAAAGCGTTCCACGCTGCAAACACTCTGTTACTGAGAGAAAACTTTCGTCCATTGATCCATACTTTACCTGCGCGTAGTGGTAGGGGATGACCGCACAAAGTGGGCGTGTTAACTTGAGTGAAATGAGCACTGGCAGCTAAGCAACAGTCCAGGCTATTCATAATGGGGAAGGTTATTATAAGATCACTGCGTAGTTGCCTGTAGGAAGGGGAAACAGGTTGAGAGTTGACAGTCTGGTTTCACAGGGCAGTCCCCCCAGACATTTTGTCATTTATTTTGCCCGCCTCTGGGCCTTCTCTACGACGGCACATTCCCTGGCAGTCCAGGGTCTCCATGCCTGTATGGCACATTCTATATGTGGCCGCCCGAAGGTGCCAAGTAGTTTGGAAAAGCCGTCTTTGTCACATCCCATAAAGACTAGTCTAATTAGTTGCTATGTAGACATGACCGACTTAGTCGCCTTCGCGCAGTTCAGTGTTGGTTTGAATGAAAATTCCATCCACACACCCAAGTCCTTCTGACTGTGAACTTGTTGCAGTGGTGTACCGCGAAGAAAGTAAGTCCTGGTGTTGAAGGTTCTGCAGCTGCCGAGTTGAAGGAAGTCGCACTTACTTGCATTGAAGGGCATAAGCCAGAGCTTCGACCAATCCTCGAGTTTCTTCAAGTTTTTTTGCAGGTAGCCGCATTGTAAATAATTTTTCACAATTTTTTGTCATTAACAAACAGGATGGCATCACAGTCTAGGTCCCTGACGTAGTCATTACTGGAAACAAGGAATAACGAAGGCCTAATACTGAGCCTTGTGGGATGCCAATCACTACGGTTACTTCTGAGGATCGCCGGCGCCCGACCTGCGCTTTTTGGAACCGCCTAGTCAAAAAGTTCTGGAACCATACAAGAAGGCTTTCACAAATTCCTGCGTCGCGCGGTTTGTGCAAGAGACGTTGGTGAGGAACGCTGTCGAAGACCTTTTTAAGTCGATATAGATGGCGTGCACCGTATTACCTTCATTGCGTGCTCTGGTCCGACGTTCGAGTGGAAAGTGCAGATTCGTGACACAGGACCTGTCACTTCGAAAGCCGTGTTGGGCATCGGAGAGGAGGTGGTACTGCTCGAGGAACTGCATCAACGTTTTCTTGATGATTTGCCACATGATTTTGCAACAGCTAGAGGTAAGACTCACTGGCTAGTAGTTATTCACAGACGCTCGACTTCCGCCATCAAAAAGCGGAGTAATGGTAACGGACTTTCATTTGGAGGGTATACACCCAGTAGTAAATGACGTTTGGCAGCAGTTAGTCTAATGGAGGACAAATAACACCTCGGTTAACATACCACACTTAGAAGGAAGGATGTCACCAGCTATCGCGGACACTTGTTACTGCTGGTTCGGTAAAAGGTAGCAACTTCAGATGGTTTGGTCATAAGCGTGGCGTACTCAGGAGAGGTCACCCATGATGTCATATCTCCACGCCTCCGTCCGAGTTGCCGCTTGGGATGCGTTAACCAACCAAAAAGCGAACGGTTATGGCTAAGTCAAGTCTGAGGTGGATGTGGGACCCTACGACCTTCCGAATAGCCGAGCAACGATTTCTGAGGATACAGCCAATGATCGGAGGAAATGAATCCCGCCACTTCCTGCTGTCCAGGGCCCTGGGGCTGGTTAAACCAGCATTCATGCTAGCCAAAATAAGTACACGTTAAGTTTGCTGACAGGATAATCAACATCACGTTTGACAACTTTTCCAAATGGATTTCTGTTATGACCCGGCCTGGTACTTGAAATCACGTGAAGCGTATGCGCACTCAACTCTTATCCCCAATACCAACGCGGCAGAGATGGAGAACGCGACCGGCCACGAAAAAGTATATTAGGAAACTCCAAGTCAAGTCTAACTGGAAAAGTAACACGTATTTATAACATCCTATTGGGATTCGCCTGCATTCGGTTCAGTGCGCTTCGAGAAGATAAATCTAGACGAGATGATCGATTACGCTCATACACGGATCGATCAGGCTAGAAGGGAGCAGCCAATGGCGAGGCGCAAGAATGATGCTGACAGCGCGCTAGAGAAAACGCACATGGCCTCCAGTGATTGGCTAGCTCTTGTTTTTGAGTGTGTAGGCACTCCCAACAACTTCTAACAGAAAAGCTGAACTACTCCAAGTGACATAGGACTACACCTCCACTGAACGAGAAGAATGTGTCAAGATAAGAGCTTGGACTCAGTAATTTAGAATGGTCTTATCCAGTCCCCAGCAACGTTCATGGAACCGTAGAAAGATCAGCACAATCGCGCAAGCCTAACTGTAGAATGCGGTGGTAAGAATCGTATTTACATACACTTGTAAATTATGGGTACCAGGTGCTGAGGGCCCGATTCCATGACCCGTCGACTGACAGACACGGGCAGCGGACGGAGGGAAGAGAGAGCGGTAGGGGGCGCTCACCGATCGTTCTTACGGAACTCACTCGTTCCGTTATGCCTTACGGGCTCTTTCTCGAGCCTAACCAGCAGTCGCACAGCGGCGCATGATATAGGCAGACTGGCATTATCGACAAAGACAAGGGAGACTGGAATGGCCATTTCTGGTTTATTAGCCGTCGTCAGCCAGTCATACCTAACCCCGAAGTGTGGAACACCCGAAGCTCGAACTCGCGACCCGTTAGTTAGAAGTCCACGCCTCCAACCGCTGGGCTACGAGCCCATATTCTTCCTATTGGCAATCCACGCGCTCCTCACTATTATATATATGACGTGCGTGAACATATCACGACGCATTAATTCGTAATTTGGAAGGTGGTCCGCTGACGAAGTAACTCCACTCTCCACTCGGGTGAGGGTTGGACTGCAGTTGTCCCTTCCGAATGTAGCCCTCTTTGCACCTCCGACTTCTGCGGACTTCGAGGCCCCTCTAAGTGAAACCCGGTTCACGCAGAGTAAGAACCAAGTCGCATGTTAAACACGTAGAAGGCTGGTTAATTTAGGAAGCCACTGTGCTCACACGCACCTTGGAAAGAGTCCCAGCCCCGCAGTTAGACGAATTCCACGTTGGACAGGGGACTAATTGGGGATCGAGTGAAAAGTATTCTCAGGACTTCAAACATTGGAAGCGCTATTTGCAAACATCTAGATGTTGGCAAGAGAGGTCACGGACTGAATGCTACAGGCAGCAGTACAAACAAATGAAGACAAGTGGTAAAAGGCTTCTAGCGGAATTTAAAATCTTATTTGGAAGTGAGCAGGGTTGTACTGCCTACGAGGTCTGATACATGCCTAAGAGGTCAATTCTGAATCACCTCGCAGGTAAGTATTTGTGCTCCTCCTTACTGTTGTTCTGTTCCTACCCCTCCTCCTCGCTATCATCATCATCATCATCATCATCATCATCATCATCATCATCATCATCATCATCATCATCATCATCATCATCATCATCATCATCATCATCATCATCATCATCATCATCATCATCATCATCATCATCATCATCGTCGTCGTCGTCGTCGTCATCATCATCATCGCCACCATAATCACCATTAAGGCATCAATGCCATTAGCATCTTTAACACGTCCGGCTGTGACTAAGCTAGTAGTGCTTGGACCAAACAGTCAGCCTATCTAGCATCTCGTACTTGGTGGGAAGACGAGCCATCGAAGCCAGTAGTGTTTCAAAGAACAGATTAGTGACGATGTTAAGTAAACCGAATCGTATGGGGGCGTTGTCGACAGCAGCCGGACGCTGGGCTCGAGCAGGCAGTTCAGTGAGGTAGGAGTTACTTGTAATGTAGAGAGTTGTAATCAGACCTTGTTCCAAAAATAGAGCTATTTATTGGCTGTCTGTGGAATACAAAATCACCCACAGCTGACCTACGTACTCGAACAGAGTAAATTTGACGCATTCCAAACCAAATATGCACATAAAACTACAACAACATTTGCATTTGCTAAGGTAGTCTCGCCGAAATCACGTTACACGGATGTTCACACACACACCAGATATGTGTTTGTCCAATCCTTGTACATTTCCTTTGATTTCTCTTTCATCTCTTCCCGGGCCTGACGGATCTTTTCCCGCTCCTTTGCCTGGAGCTCCTCCGCATGCATTCGCGCATGGAGCTTATTCCACTCATCCTGAGTGAAGATCTTGACCAAACCGACGTCGGTTTCGCACCTCGGGTCGTTTGGCGGATACTTCCTCCCTTTCGTTTGTAGGTTCACTAAATTGATAAAGAAAAGCCGAGATAGAAATAAATTAGCCTTAGAGACGCTAAATCCGTTAACAGTATCCGATGGGGATTACGAAAGCGGCAGCTAGATCTTTGTCCAAAGAGCCAGCACCAATCTTTTGCGTACGTATCTACAGTAATTTTTAAACTTTTCTGCACAGCAAACCTTCGGCAAAAGAACGCGTGACTCGTGTGATTAGGCAAACTCAGTACTCAAGCGACCGATCATCTTCTGATTTTTATAGACGTTCATCCCAGCCAGTTGTATTCACTAAAAATGTCAGCGGCAAATATCTACCATGCAGTTTTACCTTCCATACTTCTTCGGTCTGCCAAATTCATGCTTACATGTTTTTCAAAAATTTTGCTCAAGAGAAAGTGAAGACGCATTTTTCTTAGATAGTTTTCATAATCAACTAAGATGTAACATATAAATTAACTTAGAGTACATTTTTTCATCTCCATTTGGCAGTGTTCATCAACTTTTAGTCGGTATTTGGAGAAGTTCACATCTGGTCTTTCAAACCCGAGTTAAATTTCCATAGGTATCTCCTAAAAAGTACCATTTGCACATTTATTATTTGATCTATTTGTAGAAAATTTCCTGCTACATTCACCTTTTCTCTGTTTGCCACGGCTGGTACAGACTTCAAAGAATGCATAAATATACGATGCAGGAATAGGTACAGGCAGAGACAAGGGAGACAGGAATAGCCGTTTCTGGCCTAGCGACCGTTGTCAGCTAGCCACACCCAGTCTCAACTTTGGATGACCTGGGATTCGAACCGGGATCCTTTGGTCAGTGAATTCCAAGTCGCACGTTTGAACGAGTTTGAAGAGAGACCCGACGCAACTGCGTTTGTGACCAATGGGGCGACTGCTTCTGAAAAGAAGGATATGCCCAGTGTTAGATACGTGACGTTAGGCCGTTGTCCTCATCTCCCCGTCTGCCATCCTTGTAACTTGTATATCACGGAAGGGCGAGTGACTGGTGATTTTTTCTTCCAAAGTAAACTGGATGACAGGAAACGGAGTTCAACAAAGATTCTTTTGCTGCTCCTCTCGATTCATTCGAATGTCGATAGAAGCGGCCGTGGTGAGGGCGATGAACAATTCCAATGAGAGCGAGCAAAATTGCCTAGCAGTAATCACGCCAACATCCGATACGGATGATTAAATCGCGGGCATTAACGACTCGGACACTGACTGACAAGCCATCATCGCATCAATTACGACCCCCGTTAGTTGTGGTATGCATATGGCCTCACGGCAGCTACGTAGTATAAATACTGCCCTTCTTGTGCCTCCACTACCCTTATCTGCGACTGTGTCTAATGAAGAGCTCGTGTGAGAATCCGAAACGTCAGGCCAATAAACGTCTTGTTTTAGTGATCGTATCTTCTTCTTCTTTCCATGAATGGGTTGTCGACATAACTGGCCCACAATTTTGGGAAGTGCGAGCTAAAGCTCAATAGCTCGAGCCTCTGCAGAACCGCTTCAGCTATCGCTCCAGAGAGGACAAGCCAATCAGTGTTCCACTCTTTTGCTTGCAAGCCCCGCCATCGAAGGTGAGCAAAATTCCGAATTACAGTGTAAGGAATTCAATGCGGCACACTCACCTGAGCAATTACTCAGCTCTAACATATTTTTTTCCGGAGAAGTTCGTGAGTGACGCTGATAGAAATACCGGTTAGGATAGAGGTTAATAATGAGATCACGTCAAACAACACCACAACCTCGTTTGATCCTAGTTATGTATGCCCGATAGGCGTCAGAAACCGTTTAGCGGACTTCACTGTCCACTCTGAATCTTTGAGAAGGAAACAAGGCCGCTGGTAAGGTCACTTGGACATCTTGATGGCCAAGTTGTCGTGTAAGGAGATGGTGGAGTGAGGCACTCCTGACCCGTTTAATTTTGACAGGCGGTGAACTCCTCCCGCCATATTCGATATGCTCTATCACAACTGACAAGTCAATGGGCCCGTGGCCCAGGGGTAAAGCGTTGGACTTCATAACGCTCATTGACCGGGTAATCTGTGTTCGCATCCTAGGCCGTATAAAATTTTGGTTTAGGTATGCCTAGTGAACGACGATTAATAAAACAGAAATGGCCATTCCACTCTCCCTGTCTTTGTTAATACTCTTTCCTGCATATGTATATGTACATACACGAAAAAGCAACCGAGTACATTTATTTATGGCGCAGTCAAGCTTCTTGGGAACGAAACAGCGTTTATCATGCAGGTCTGTGGTGTAGGTTCCCCGAACATGTACAAACACCGTTATATTTTTAACAGTGTCTAGTGAGCTATCCTGTTTTGCTGAAACCGGCTCAATGCACGTCCCTTCTATCCTGTAACTACGTCGAGATTTGTTGCATTTGTCTATTTTTCCATTTAAACTCGTGTGTCAGACCTCCAAATTGACAAGCAAATTTATTCATGCACTGTACCAGTGTATTGCCTCCAGAAATTCACCGCCTTTCCGTATCGGGCAGACACCAATTATGTAAGCATCCTCCAATGCAAATGTGTGTCCAGTGTCCAGTGCGATGGTCTCACATCCTCACCGTTAGCTGATGCCCACCTATACTTGTGGAGGCAGATTATCCTGTTTCTCCACAATAGACTGCATCGCGACTGACACATCAGATTTTGCAGATGGCTTTTCTACTAAAGTGGTCAACCCTATGCTTAGGTTGCACAGGCTAGGTGAGCGAAATATTTGCTGGTGTTTGTGCCTCCTGCACCGGCTGTTTTTAAACTGTCATTTGAGCACTTCAAATAGTTTTTGGGCGAGGAATTATTCGCCAAGTGATTGATTCAGGCATCTGGATGGCCGTAGGACTGGAAAAACACTTTCGAGGGTTGAGATTCCTTCAGAAACGGAGGTTAGAAAATAACGCTTGTTTCTAGGTCAAAAAGTTAACTAATTTCGCACATCACTCCTACGCCTGACGGCGGGTTCAAAGAATAAACGGATACCGATGCCACCTTTAGCACAAAGTATTTTTCTGAGTACACTAAGCAGGTTTGCGTCTGATGAAATGCATTAGGTTGCTTGAAGTGCTTCTGCTGGGACGATCTCAAAAGTTCAATTGTAATCTGTGGATGCCTCCTTAAGTCTGGTTTGGGTAGAGGATGGTCCGTCTTAACGCAAACAAGCAAAGTCAACCCGTTCTTTATTATTAATTTACAAGGAGGACTCAAAAGACGCAAGTGTGGTCGATGTCAAGGGAGTTTTTCCCGCATGTGCCATACTGTAGTTCTCTATTTTTCCACAAGCAACCAATACGTTTTCGCTCTGTATCAATCAAAAGTACACAAGCTAACCAGCAAACACAGAGTGATTTCTTATAAATTTTATTGTTAGCTTGTTCTTTTCTGCATAACAAGCGTTGAATATTTTCCACAATCCCCGCCTTAATGCGTGAAATGTGGGGGTTAACAACCTACATATACCGTGATTGCCTTCAGGGTTGCCAGCCATTGATTAAACTCTCATTCATCCCATTCTCCCTCTTTTTCTCTATGGTTTTTCCTCCCGTGCTTCATCTTATTCCTCTTCAGATCAAGGTTGTTGGTTAGAAGAGAAGCATGTGACATTCTCTGAAAACTGATTAGTCAATAAAAGTTAAAATAGGCGTTGTTTTATATCCTTGATTTGGAAATAACAGATGTGGTTGATCGGTACCAAGTCAGCCAAACATGAGTGATAGAAGATAGTTGGTACGCGCACGCCTCCAGGTCCTTCCAGGTAGGCTATTTGCCCAAAGACACGTCCTAGTGGAGTGCATATCTTAGAATTTGGCTCTAGTTCACCAGCAGAGTCACGTTGTCCTCGGGGATAATGACAGAGTATTTACGATACGCGCCTCAACTGCAGTACCGGGTATTAAAAACTTGTGGTGTCCTAGTCCATGTAATGTAAACTATATCAGCTAACCAAATTCACTACAGTGGATAGTGACTCGTGTTAATTCACACACGGGAGACCAAGTTGATATGAAGCAGCAAGTGAGCAATTGAGTAGGGAGGACTTTAGGGCCTCCAGAGGAGACGGGAACATTAATCTCTCTTGAATGGGAACGCTTTTCTTTTACAGGACCCTCCCGATCGCCATGCATTTAAGTTTCAGCCCACGGACTTAACTTTTACGGTGACTTGCGATCGTCCCTACTGGTTTACCGACGGACTAATTTTACCGGGTCTGATGATGGCTTAGTTTTGGGCTTACTTGTGCTTCTTAGATAGTGGGAAAGGGCAAAAACGATAAGGGGACCGAGTGGGTTGCTGCCGCTTGCCTATTCATACTTCTAGCAGTCCGTCATAGAGCTGATCAAGATCTGCGACTGGAAACACGAACGCGTACTCTCACACTGCACAGAGATTTTGCAAATGGAGGCTAAACGATAGGTTGACAGCACAATAGGAGCAAAAGTCTTCGGAGATTTCGGGTCGGACACAGTAACTTATATGTTCATTTCTACAAGTATGTGTAAATATTGCTATTTTGGTCTTCCGTAACAACGGAGTTATGAGTAGGGTGGTAAGGACCACGATTAAACATTCAGCTAATTAATCACTCCGTAACGAAGTACACAATAGCAGCAGTAAATTGGCAAAGACAAAAGGAAAATTGAGACAATTGTGGGTTTGGGGCTCGTTTGCATCCTCTTCAAAACAATTTGGCTTTGTTATCATAAGTGTTGATTGTTTACCCGTTAATAATGGACTCCATTCGGAGTGAAGTTGACCTATTGCGCATTAACAACAGTCTCGAATACGCATCCTCGGCAAAATGTTAACCACAAAATCTGCGTACGTCAATATCGATTTTTAGAGTAATTTTTTAATTGCTCGGTGTTTTATGATTAGATTGCGCTCTCTTTCGCGCGTTTTATGTCAGGCTATGTAGTCCTATCATACAAAACCACTGGAAGATGTATATGTCCTAGCACAGCATTCTGTCGTTGGCGAAAAGAAAAGTCGAAAAAACGAAAACTAAATTTTGCCTTCGAGCATTTAAAGTTATTCTTTCTTTTGTCCCAGTAGAAATATGGAGTTCAACTAAGTAATTGTAATCCTACATAAGGCCTGCCATGCTAATAACGAACTATACAAGTAAGTATTAATATTATATTATCTAGAAAGTCTTCCAATACATCCTGCATTCCCAATCCGGCATAGACGAATAACGACCTGTATTCGACGCACTAATATGACCTCCGTATTAGCGGCTTGTTCACGGAGTGTGGTACAGACATTAATATATAAGAGACCGTAAAACGTCTTCGAAGATCACAGCCACACTTAAACAGACTATGTGGAAATCGAGGCAGATTTCTTGCATGCAAACTTACGTTCTTTTATGTGGTTAACAAATAGCATAATGAGTTATCACAGCTTCTGCACTCAACAGCGATCGAAGAGCTTACACTAAGGGGGTCAGGAGATCAAACCCTTTGTGAAAGTGGATCCCAATCATGTAAAGTATTTTGATGAAACTTCCAAAACATCTGTTTAACTTTGACTTTCCCGATATCGAGGTAAAAGTAACAGAGGAGACAGACGGTGACTTTTAGGTGAGATTCGTCAACAGACAGTAAGAAGGCGATCTTGAAATAGCCGGGCACGAGAAAAACACGAGCATGCTATAGACAGTCGAATTCACCCCCAACTATTTCAACCAAAAAGGGAATTGTGCAAGGACTCTGTAATGAAGAATGCATATACACGCAGTATAGAAAATGCAAAAGCAAACTATACTTGCCGTGTATCTAATGTCCTCAGAATAACGACTCATTTGCCCTTATCAAGAGACTTCTGCGACCATGCTATAGTTAGGTTAATGAGGATGATTAGGAAATACATTGGATATGACCTGCATTGCCTGTGTCACTGCGGTCACATGAGAAATCGACAATGACCTAAACATCAGCAGTACGCACCAAGCGGTGTCCACAATGTACAGCCCATGTGTGTCAAGAACCACCAAAAGGCGAAGATGTTATCTGTCGCGCTCTGTGCGCCGACTCCGTTCAAAATTTAAAAGACCAAACGACGTGGAACTTGGAAACGTGAGGACAAAAAAATTAGTTCTTTGACAAGACAACCTGTTTCCTCTCAAGACCGGTAGCTGTGTACAATAAATTCACGCCTTCAATTTTTCAAAGACAAACTAACTAGGGTTGGTCCGGATTAAATCAACGTGACTAAATAATGAAAACAAAATGAACTCTTCGCTTCATCTATCAATGTAAACCTTGTCAGGTTTATGGACACAGAAAAACCCGTGAGTAGCTTCAATCAGTGCGATCCGTAGAGGCCATTTTCAGGAGAACGGGGTAGTATTGTTATCTGAAGTTAGACATTTGCAAATGTTTGCGTTATCTACCCAAAATTGTTCACGGTAGACTTAAGAGGCCATCTGAAAGATGAATATTCTTTACTTTCTTTGTGCTATATATTTCTGTTTTATATAAAGCAACATGTCAGCTTCGATACACTAATTGCATCATTCGTCTTGAGTTTTATCCAAGGTTCTGGGATATATTGAGTTTGTCATGTCAAATTTTCTTGTTTAAATGGTCGCCCCTGTTATAAAACATCCTACATCCACAGATGTCGCATATACGTATTTAAAATATAGCTTTGAACGACCGTCCAGGCATTGGAAATAAGGTTTTCAGCAATTGTACTCAAAGTTAACTTGATAGAATTTTTAACATAACCAGTATAACATGCATTTATGAGATACTTATGGCATCCATGTGTAAACTGTGATTACAGATCTACTGTTCTAACGGAGCACGCTTATTCTGTTTTATTCTGGTAACTAAGTAGTATGAAGAAACGCCAGCAAAAGAAACGTAAACACAGATGCAACTTCTGTGTGATACTATATTCCCAGTCGCAACCGACAGAGCTAGAATGTCACGCTTGGCTTGATGCACAATGGCCAGAATTTTACGCTCGTACCACGGATTATGGGGGAGCTCGATGACGATAGTCGTCCTTGCTTTTTGCCTGTGTTCCTTTTCGTAATACCATTCCACATGACTCACAAAAGGTAGTACGCATAGTTGAATTTTACGCCTGGAATTGCATAGTAATGATCAAAAAACATTAGATACTGTTACTGCGTGTGAAATGTATACCTTTCCTGAAGGTTAACGGAAGAAAATTTAATGATGTTTTTTTCCTATGAGATATTGCGCTTACTCCGCTATGGGAGACTTGAGGCAGTTCGATTTCATCTGACTCAAAAACTGGGGTCGTGCAGGTAATATGCGAAACAAAACTGTGCAGAATTAAAAGAGTTTTAAAATCATTGGGACTTCCACGATAGTGATCGTCCTACAGTCCAGCGGGTGACGGAAAATGTCGAACGAAGCACAGCGTTTTAAGTTAATTTAAAACGCTCATAATTATGAGTGTAAGTGAAATATAAATTTGCTCTTACCCCCTAACAGCTTAATCACCACCAGTGAAACAACAGCAATGTGGACGGCTTCCAGCGTGGATAATGGCTAGACTTCTTCACAAGTCCCGCCTACATACAAATATTTAAATATTGTGCAGATTTGCACAGTACTCCTGCGGTACAAGGCCTAGGCCTTGTACAACGTACGGGCTTGTACGTTGACATCTAAGGACGTATTTTTCCCGCCTACACTGTTTCAGAAATTGTATTTTTACGTAACCATGGTATAAATTGACATTGCAACATAACACATTTTGTACACCAGTTTGTCATGGCGGTTTGCAATAAATCTATCTTTTTTGATTCAGTAGGTGTGGTGTGCGAAAAAAATCCATATTCATAAGGACTTAAAAATGGAAGCTATTAATTCGAATTATTCGAACTTCATCCGAGGGGACGGAAATATACATAAATTAGCAAATTTGACGCTGACGCCAAAACGTTCACAGCAAGCCTATTTACAGCGCTTTCAAGCAAGAATAAATTACTGGGTGTAAGTATTTCACACGTTAACAATAACAGGTCGATCCTCGTAAAAGTAGCCTGCTTTAGACAGTCGCAGACTCGACTAATTAATTCATAATTACAATTTTAATCTTACAACGACAATGATAATTATGTTATTTATATAACCATCAAATGCATGCGCATGCCAGAAACTCATTATTGAGTGGATATTCTTTATAAAGCTTTACGGATTATTACTTTTGTTTCTAATCGCATCTTGAAATTTATATAACGACAATTACCGCATATCCTAGACATTCCTAATTGCCGTGATTCATAAGAGTGCCCGTGCGGTTTCAATGACTATGCTATTTTAAACACGCATGAAACTTGGGTTGGTTTTGTTCGAATACAGAGCGTCACAGGAAAAGAAGAACTTGAAGAAGGACCGCTTAACTATTTTGCGGGAGTAAGTGGTATACATAGAAGTTGTAAAGTGACTAAAGTATGTCTGTCAGCTTTGGGTTCGCTAACTTCGAAAAAATTTCAATGCAGGGATGTAGATATGAGGCTGAGACATAAAAGACCTGTGTTGGACTCAGAAATATTATTTAGCTGATGCATTCCTCAGAGCAAAAGCTGTCTGGATAAACCCTAACGGCGTAAATCGGGGGCTCATGTTCGTTGTGGTGCTGAAAATCTTCACCTCCAATAGATAATGGAAACTCCCACCCAGACGGGTTACTACACTGATATTACTTGAGTTCTTCCTTGTAACCCTTAATATTGTACCCTGGTAGCGGGCGTATATCGTTTCGATATCGAGTAGATAGCGTATTTTCGATATACGTATAGCCAGTAGAAATCGTTTTTGTCCGGCGGATGCATATCCAGTAGATATCGAATTTTCAATAGGCTAAAAAACGACGGTGGCAGCAGAGATAGCAATTTGCACGACCCCTTTTCCCATGGAAATACTACCTTTTGTATTAAATCGATCTATATTGTTTTTGTCTGCCCTTCCCCTACTCCTAAGTCATCTACCGTAGTCTTAGTTTTGATGACAAACGTAGAAAATAGCGCGACGTACCCACAACACTCCAAAGTCG